AAAATGAAAGGGAAAAATAATGTCTCAGTGTCACAATAAATACTTTAGGGAATTGTGTCCGTCGCAACTACGTCAACAATGGCATGACGTGCACAACGGGCATTTCAGGATCTTCATGTTTGGCATTTGCAGTCTGAGAAGTCGAATCCAAATCCTCCTTGCGCGGTTATATCTTGGAGTCCTTTGCATAAGACTGATCTCTTACTTATACAGAGTCCATAGAGAGGTCAATCGAAGATAGCAGCAGTTGCCAGTTCATACCCGTCGATTTTGCCTACCTGAAAGTTGCTCAATTTAGTGTATGCAAAACCCTCTGGATTGCTTGGCACTGGGAATTTACGTACCCCTGATTGTTAGAAGAAACAATGTGTCCTGGACACATCGTACACTGATGCGAAGTAAGTTACAATTGGCTAGTGAAGCCAGAGACTGTCTCAGTATTCAGTAACCCTGCAACAAAAGTGGCATTCTGAGACCATGTCTGAAAACCTCTTATTTTCAACGACGACTTTAGGGCACCCGTCCAGAATATTGTGTCGTTCGAGATCAAATGCGCTCGAGAAGGAGCGCTGTACGTCGCAAAAACCTCCTTGTTGCTGCTGCTCTTGTCAAATGTTGAGCATTAGTACCATTCCGACTGCCACTTGTTCTGGCACCTTGCCTGCTACTCTAAGCCCCTGTTGTTCAACTGTCCTATCCACAGTAGTACTGGTAACCCAGATAGTCGGCCACAGGCAGGCTTCAATGTGATACAACCAGGGACTTTGACATCTTGCTACTCACTAAATGAGGAGGATTCCTTGCCTTTGCAGAGTGAGATCTGGTCAGCGTTGCATAAGAAGTCACACACATCAAATGTCATAAACATCTGCAATAATTTGCTTCCACCCTTTCCAAAACCTTCCATCCCTCCAAGCAGTTTGAGTTGTCAGGTCAATGTTCGTAAACACAATAAGTCTTCGCTGTTCTCCTTGAATAGGTGACAAGACTTTGCGACACCATTTGGGGGAGATAGAAGGCTGAAGCCTACACCTCCATCCGAGTCCCGTCGAATCATCACATCGTTACCCAAACAGATACCTGTCACCGCCACCATGGCTCTCGATCGCCAACCTTCCATGTCTGATGGGAGCGACGACTTCTCCAGACCAACGAGCTCTCAAGTCAAGCCTTTGTCTACCGATACTTCAATATTTGGCGACCAGATACCAGAGGACTGCTTCGCTACGAGTCCTATGAGTATCGCGAGTACACCACTGCTTGAGAAGGAGAAGAAAGGTGCAGGAGAGGAAGAAGCTGCGAAGTCCTCACCGCAGGCTACTTTCGAGAGCAAGGGAGACCCAACAGCGCAATCACAATCGCAGGCACAGACTTCTCCTATACGGTACGGTCTACGCTACCATGGAAACGTCTTGCATACACATTTCATATCTGACTCTGGTGTAATATAGGTCACTTTTCAAAGAATACGTGCACGTGGATGTCGGTCCGTACAAAGTACGCTTCGGGGTCCACAAAGGGCTAATCAGCAAGTATTCGAAGTACTTCAACGCAGCATTCAATGGATCCTTCAGCGAGGCAGTGAATGGCGTCGTCGTGCTTCCCAAGGAATCATCCCGAACCTTTGAGATCATGCACACCTGGCTCTATACTAATGAGCTCACGCAGACAGTGGGCGGCAAGGATGCTGCCTGCGACCCAGATCAGCTCGTCGATGCCTTTATCTTCGGCGATAAGTATGATATGTCTCTACTGCGGAATAAGGCTATCGACGTCATAGCGTCCAACTATTCATCTCCAGTGGTCGTCGTCGGATGTATCGCACATGCCTATGCGAACACAACAGCCGGCTCTCCCTTACGCAGACTTCTCGCGGCTATGTTTACCGCCAAACCCACACTCTGGATCTGGGTAGCAGGTAAAGCAACAGAAGTTTTCCTCGAGTGCCCAGAATTCCTGTTTGATGTGACTATGGAACTGGCGAAGTCTGGTAACAACGCTCAAACTAAGGGTATGAACCTGAATGATGCTCCCTTCAAAAAGGATCTGTGTGCATTTCACGAACACGCCGAGGGAGAGAAGGATTGCTCTGGGACCATAGTGTCTCTACCGGGAAAGCCACATACTGGATCCGGTGGTACGTCCTGAGAATAGCAGCACCTCTTTCCTTCTGAACTTACCTGTGCACTAGCGGTCGACATCAGCGAGACTGCGATTCAGGATGGCAACCTGGAGGTTGGAAAGCCTCCAAAGCCCTCCTTTCATCGGTGGCGCAGATCCGGTCGTGGAGCGTCTACTGGCAGGTAGAGTGGGCTTTCCGTGAGAGTCTGTCCTTCACAATATACACAGAATGGCTCGATGTGTCCTACCTTCGGATAATTTTGGGGCTACTCGGAGACAGATGCTGTCGCATTTGTGCGGTAGTGTTTGGAGACCGTCCTGTCGTTACTTGATTAGCTGGAGACTCATCATGTGTGGTGACATGAATGTGAGACTGGGAAGACGCAAAATCCCCAAACACTTCGGACGAAAGCAGCAGCTAGCGCATCAATCAGTACATTTGAGATACTCGAATGGCAATAAATATCGCTATATAGCTCATCAATTCTGCGCATACGATGTAAAGCCCGAACGCTCAGCGTGCAGATCAATACCTGGTTTTTGTGAAAATGCTCAAACGTGCATCGTTCCTATCAACTAGACAGCCAATCCAAAAATTGCGGCGTAAAATAAGACACCACAATGGTTGCCCCTGCCCTCAATATGCCCTCCGTACTTTCAAATGCCATTGTTTTGATATCAAACACCCCTGCAGCTGCCGCTGCGTGAATCATAGCAAATTCCCCACTAACCTGATACGCCGCGATCGGCATATCCTTTCCTATCTCCTTTGCGTCGCTAATGATGTCGAGATACGAACTCGCAGGCTTCACCATAATGATATCAGCACCTTCTTGGATATCGCGATGTATCGCCCGCCGAGCCAGACCTCGACCTCCCGGCGGTAATTGATAGCATTTGCGGTCGCCAAAGGAAGGGCAGGAACCCGCTGCGTCTCGGAAAGGACCGTAGAGACAGCCTGAAAACTTGGCAGAGTAGGACATGAGGACAACTTTGTGCGCTATGCCGGCCTCGATGAGCTTGAGCTTTATAGCCCGGATACGACCATCGTTCATGTCTGATGGTGCCACACAATGGGCGCCTGCTTCTGCGTATGCCATGGCCACATCGCTTATGCGGTCGACGGAGAGACTGTTGTTGAGACTACCGTCGTCGCGCAGGATACCGCAGTGGCCGTGGGAGGTGTACTCGCAGAGGCAGACGTCGGCGACGATGAAGAGAGTGGGAAAGCGGGCGCGGAGGAGACGGATGGATTGAATGACTGGACCTTGGGGGTCGTCGGCTGCGGTACCGAGGGCATCTTTAACGTTTGGCGCGATAGGGACACCGAAGAGGATTACGGAACGGAGGCCTTTCCGTACAAGAGGCTCGAGGTGAGGGATGAGTTTGTTGATGCCGCGGCGGTGTTGGTTGGGAAGGGAGGGAATGAGGGTCTCTTCTTCAGCTTGGTCGGATATGAAGAGGGGGTAGATGAGCATTGACTGGGCATATTAGCAAAGCGTGGTACACAAGGCAAAATGCCCTAGTACCTTCGTTAATTGTCTCTCGGCCTGCCAGGACCGTGTGAGCGGATGGCTATAACCTCCATGGAGTTGACTCGAGATGTCGCCCGAAATGCTGACGCTCGTTGCCGCCGTACTTGCGTACGATTTGGCGTATGAACCTGCGATTGATCTTGCGGACGGTCTCGAGGCGCGTGAAGCTTGGTCGTTGGGATTGTTGTCCCGAAACGCCAGGTCTGAGACCAGCGAAGAGAACGACATTGTGTTGGTTGTATTCTAAGGAAGCTGTTGGATAGATGTACAAAATCGTCTCCTCAGGCCGCCTTTCAATGCTGACAGAGGCTCTTCCGTAGGGCGTATAGGACGGGAATAGTGGCGACTGTAACTACATCGACTCAGATGCACTTTTGGACAATGGCAGAAATGTGAAGATGTGGTAAATGGCCTTGGAAACTAGTTGTAGATGTGCAAGATTTTATGTCTGGCGAGTGATTTCGATGGGCAGTAAGCTTACAATTGATTATCTGTACTTGCGGACGAGGCTTCGTCGCTTCCAAAATCGTCATCCTTCAGGGTATGTTTAGAATAAGCTAACTCTGATTGGCCGCTCGGGCCGGAGAAAGCTCCTTCGATCCTCGCGTAGACAGTAATGATCGCCGGCTTCTTTTCCACTCGTCCAGCATCTTTCACCTTTCCGACACCCAATGTTTAATCGCTGTCTATATCATCGAAAGACTAGCAACTTATTGGACGCTAAATGAGAGACGGCGAATTCATCCAATGATACTACATTTCGGTGATCAACTCTGTCGTCTAATAAAAGGCTCCCTTCATGACAGTATGCTTTGAAGACCATCACTTTTCGAGCTCCGTCTCAAGACCCCGGCTTTGGTATGGAGGGCCGGGGTTCATTACTGGGCTATCGAGCGGAGTGGAGAATTGCGAGTAATTGAAAAGTCCACCATCAAGCTCTGGATCCTTGGGAATCATTCTATTTCGTAGTTTGCATGTATTTGTGCTGTTGCGCCTTCAATCCTGTTAGACAAACGCCAAAAAGGCGACAGAGATATGTCAACTTAAAAGCAAGCAAACAGTCAAGATTAGGTGGGTACGGATCCGGACCTTCATTATGTTCAACTTAAATTTCCGATAGAGAAGCAGCATTCCCTCAAATATATACAATGTGCATCACAGCATTTGCAAGGGAAGGCACTCTGGTCATTGCTATCTACTGAATCTCATAAGAAAAATCCCCTCCTCCTTTTGACTATGTGACCTCAATACTGCAGTTCCAGGCATTAGCGATAGTTCAATTTTACCAACTTGGGTTACAACTTTATTGAAGTGACTGTCCACCTTAAGCTCCACAAAGCTTCAATGGCAACATACGGCAAGAGAAAGAAAGGCCTCCTTTCCTCCTTCACCGTCTTCCAAGATGACAAGCCAGAGAAAGAGACTAAGCAGCAGCAGCGCTCGAGTGAGTACATCCCAAAACGTACAAATATGCAGATCTAATCCATCTCCGTTTGTCAGCCTACGCACGCCTCGAAAGGGCGAAGTCGAAGATGCAGAGATCACGCAGCCGGGCGCAAGATGACGAAAGCAGCATTGATGAGCTTGCTGGGAATGAACTTCTAAACACCGTACCCCACGAGCCGGTCCGTCTTCCCTCACTACATAGTCTTGCCGCAATGAGCACGACGGACATCCTTCGTCCAAAATCCAGCAGATCTACAAAGACAGTCCCAGACGATTCGGACAAGCCACTTCCGCCAATACCAAGAGACCCTTTTGCTGAGCAGAGACTACACTGGCAGAATAGACCACCTCTCGCCAAAAAGACAACCAACATGAAGGCCTCCGACCCTGGCAAGGTAGCCACCAAATCCAAGATCTCTTCTCCAATAATGGTACAGCCAGAGTCGAGCCCCGCAGGTCCGTCTCCTAGCAGACCTGCCACCAGTCATACTAGCCAAAGCACATTCGGTACTCAGCCAAGTACAGCAGATGCTACGAATTTTAGCAAAAAAATCTCAAATCTCATGCAACAAGCCGCCGCTCAGGAGTCACAGACTAAGCAAAAGGCCGCCATTTACGCCGCCGAATCGGCCAAGCTGTCCCCTCTAGAAAAGGGCAAGAAGGCATTCGTCAAAGCCACTCGTGCAATCAAGGAACGACTGAGTAGCAGCAGCAGTAGCAACGACAAGCCCTTCAATTCGAGGAGAATGGAATCTATTGAGAGGAGCTCCAGCGGTGGCTGGGAGCCTCCTCCGCAGTATGAATCGCAAGAAGAGTTGACCCGAGGAAGGCTCGATCGACGCATTGCTGAAGGCGAAAACCTAAGCAATCCTAAGATACGAAAACTGACGGGCGATGGTAATATTCCACGCAAGCCGTTACCAGTCTATGAGAGCATGAGATCCAGAAGCCAACACTCTGAATCGGATAATCCTTTCTCAGAAGCGGATGACGAAGACGGCCATCTATCCCCTGAGGACTATTCTGGCTTTGACTTCGACTTCAGCAGACGCAAGCACAAAGGCAAGGCCGTACGTGCACCGGTGCCAGTCGTAGAACAGGTGGACAGTCCTTCTGGGCAGTCTGATCAGCACTTGACTGTCCCTAAATCTACATCCAGGTTCTCTAACATGATCTCGGGGCTAGCTCAGCATTCCGATACGGAGTATTTCTCGAGTAGTCCTGTCGGCTACTCAACACCACGGATTCGCCTCGAACCTCAGCCACCAATGAATGGAAATAACACGGCCGCCGGTGCGCTGCAACGGAGTCCATCCATCTTAGAGTTTAGCTTCGAGGGCCAAAGCGAGGATGCTTCCTCAGAGGCCCAATCTCCTAAAAGGAGAGCCTCGGAAGGAAGCACAAGCGTGAAAAGGAAGGGAGCCACGAAAGATCTCCGCTCACAAGTGGCACCAGTAACGAAGAAATTGAAGACAGACTCAATTTCTTCAAAGGATGAGGGAGGACTAGCAGCTGGGATCAGTCATTTAGCCACAGAGGATGATCGAGGTCTCCTTTCGCTTGAGAGTACGAACGCCGTAGTTGCGAAGCCTAGCCGGAATCCGAGCAAGAGGAAAGGTATGAGCATCTTTGACCTCAGCAAAGGAAAATTTCCTGAAGGGACGGGCGAGGACGAAGCAAAGAGACCCTGGGCTCATGCAATTGCCAGCAAACGATCTTTGGTTACACGACCAAGCAGTGTGCTCTTCAGCCGTGGCCGAGAGTCACGAGCGGGTATGCAACGACTGGAGCAAATTGACGGAGATGACATGGATGTCGACGAGTTGCAGACGAATGATGTTACATTTCATGTGGGGGGACAGAAGAACTAGTTACTGCTGAGTATATTTGGCCCTGGTATACATTACGTTGCATCAGATGGTTGGAAGCGTATGAGATGTTGCTGGACTTGCTTTATACGATATACCCTATTTGCTTGAGCATGGTTTTGTCAGTTCCGGCAGAGCAGTTGGTCATACTTCTAGTAGGTATAAGAGACATGGCTTTATCAGCAGCGCCAGTAGCTTCAATGGTCGCGTAAATAATGTACGAAATCAAATGCGCTTCTCCCTGCACCGTGAGATCTGGTGTGGATGCAATGGAAGAAAGGCTTCCTGATACGGCCTACCACGGACCACAGGTCTGGTGCAATGCAATAACCTTCCGGCAAAATATATATTGCCCACCACCAGAAGCGCTCCGAAAGACTGTCTGGCAACTTTATGTGAGTTTCTGCTTGATGAAGAACGCGCGAAGGTGCGATAGCTGCCAAGCACAAGTGACGCCCAAGACGATCAGCTGTAGTAGAGTCCACCTCACCACCCTCGCATTCGTAGATTCTGACTGATCTCTGAACTCCGCTTCTCGTTCCTACATCAACCGCATTAGCAAACCCTCTCACCGGTTCTAGCACCCTCGAGACTGCCACTCACCCTCTGGAAAACCTGCTCCCGCCTGATGTCCTGCAGCCTCCCATTCAAATCCCTAACCTTCTGCGCAATCTCACTCAACTTCCCCTTATCCGTGCTCTCGATCGCGCTCGTCTCCCCAATCGCCAGATCCAGCGTCAACCTCACCTGTCCATGGCCCTGTCCCTGGCTCAACCACCCACCCTGCGAGGCCCCGGTGGGCGTGAAGCAGATGCGGTGCTCGCCAGCGTCGGCGGCGCTGAAGGTGAACTTGCCGGTGTGGGATCCTTTGGTGTTGACGACGCGGTGGTCGTTGTCGAAGACTTCGTCGACGGTGACGGTGATGGAGAGGTCGGGGTTCGTGGTGAAGACGTTATTTTGAGACTCGAGGGCGCTGTAGTGGCCTAGTGTTCCATGGGTTGGCAAGGAGAATGGATGATACAGGAGAAATGGTGCTTACCGACGACCAGAGTGTCCTTAGGGAGCTCTTCGTAGAAGCATTTTGGGCTTGCGGAGGCACCGTCCAGGTAGAAGTAGAGGGCTTGTGTTGGTAGTATGAGATTGAACACAAGGACTAGAAGTAGAGAGGGCACCAGACTCAATGGCCCTCGCTGTGCAGTCTGCATGGTTGGTGTCAAAAAGTGAACGGGATTGAACACAAGACTCCTTTTACGAGAGAAGTTGAAGCCGCGAATATTTTTGGGCAGGGGTCCTCCGCCGCAGGCTTCCCTGGCGGAGATTCACCAATGCATCAACACAATCACTTTCGCTCTTAATCTGTAGCTTTGAGGACCTGGTGATGAATATAAATCTATGGAAAGCTATTGAGGTTGTTGCATTCTGATCGGGTCCGCTCCAAGAGCCCATAGGCGTCAAGATGATGGGCTCAGATGCGCGCGATGTGCTGGGGCTGCCCAGCGCAGGCCCACCCAAGCCGGCAACACCAAAAGTGCAGAAACCAAAGGTCAGAGGTCCAAGTAAGTGTTATCGCTTCCCAGCTAATTGAACGGAGTGCTGACTTTCGTAGCTGGAATGAGCAGAGAAGTCCTCGATCTCAAATATGAAGGAGCACCACCAATATCAATCGTCGCCCCCAAATTCAAGGAGAAGCCAAAGCTGCCATTCAAGCCTCGTCCCTGGGAAGAGACACCTTTTGGAAACTCTGCTCGGAAAGATGGTCTTATACTTCGACATTGGAGGCGGAAGGGCGACGTTTCTAATGCAGCTGCATTGCCTGTTACGCCGGCAGATTCGAATGCCGCATCAGAGATGGAGCAGGACGAAAAGGCAGCAACTACGCTATCTGATTCACACTGGGCAAAGTTCAATGTGAAGGTCGACAAGCCTCAGTACACGGATGAGCAATACGAGACACATTTGAAGAATGACGATTGGAGCAAGGAAGAGACAGATTACTTGATCGACTTGGCTACGGACTTCGATCTTCGGTGGATCGTGATTACGGATAGATACGAATATCAGCCCAATCAACAGCCCAAAGAGAACGAGGACTCCATGGCCGTTACGCTGCAGGCCAAGCCAAGAACTCAGGAAGATATGAAAGCCCGATACTACGACGTCGCAGCGAAATCTATGGTCCTACATAATCCCCTATCGAGCATGTCATCATCCGAATTCGACGCTCACGAGAAGATGACGAAATACGACCCTAATCAAGAGAGAAAACGGAAGATGTACGCCGAACAGCTCATGAACCGAACAGACGAGGAAAAGTACGAGGAAGAGATGCTGCTCAAAGAGCTCTCAAGAATCGTCCTCAACCAAGAAAAACTATTCAACGAGCGCAAAGCCCTCTACGATCGCCTCGGAACCCCGCCAGGCGCACCGCAAACCCATAGCACGGCCATGTATCAATCCAGCCAAGGTCTCACACAACTAATGCAGAACCTCCTCACCCAAAACAAAAACAAAGAGCTCGAGAAGAAAGAGAAACGCCGCTCAGCCATGGGGGCAGAAGGCGACTTTCCAGGCGGACCGTCCGGTATGGATAGAGGCCAACGCCATTCAATAGGCGGTGGTTTAGACAAGCGCTTTTCATTCGGACAAGGAGGACCACGCCAGCTCAGTGCCCGTGAGGAGCAGAAATATGGCGTCAGCCACCCCAACGAGCGTCTTACAGGCGGCGTGCAATTCCGGCACGAGCGCATCACTAAAGCCGGTCAAGCGAAATCTGGTGTTCAAACTAGCAGGATAGGTGCAGCGTTGACAGAGTTGAAAATACCGCAACGGTTGACCATGCCGACGGCCAAGGTGGTTACGGAGTATGAGAAACTGATTGAGAGCATCAAGACTTTGCTCGAAGTGAGGAAATTGAGTGAGAAATTGGACGGGGAGATCAAGGTGTGGCAGGCGCAGAAGGAGCAGCAAGAAGCTAAGGATCGGGGTGAGGAGGTCAAGGAAGAGGAGCCTAGTCAAACGGTGGAGAATGAGGAGGAGGATGAGGACACGAAAGAGATTGATGAGCAGGCTGAACGTAGGAGGAAAGCTGAAGCCGAGGATGACGACGAGGCCGAGGATGATGACGAAGACGAAGACGAAGACGACCAAAATGCCGAGGGGAAGGAAGAAGAGAAGGAGGACAGCGATGAAGAGGTCAGTGCCAAAGGAAGCAACAAGGACGAAGAGGAAGACGCTGAAGTCGACGAGAACTTCGCTGGGGACCAAGACGACGACGACGAGGAGGAGGAGGAGGAGGAGGGAGAGGACGATGAAGATGAGGAGATGCCGGATGAGGCAGAAGCGGAAGCGGAGGTGGACGCGGACAATAATGATGACAATGCGGATGCGAATGAGGAGGTCGAGGACGACGGAGCTTCTTCGCCAGCAAGCGCGGCTCCTACCACCAGGGGCGAAGGGCTACGGAAACGTAGTGCGAGCGTCATAAGCCACGTCAGCAATAAGAGCTCAAAGAGGCAGAGGAGGTAGTCTGTCTTAGCAGTTGGCCTTTAAGCACACGTTTGATGCAGTAATTAAAACAATCTGCAAAGCCCCTGCTTATGCTGGCATACAGAAGGTTCTCTTCTTCAATTAATTCAAAGCTTTGCTCACCACGAGCCAGAATCAAAGCCGAATCACAGACCATGAAACCCAAGAACCACAATGCCCAAAGATGAACCGTATACTCCTAGCTCCCAAACTTGCGACATCACTTCTGCCAGGCACCTCATCAACCCAGCTCCTCAGCACTCTCCAACGTCCGTCTCCTCTGCCGTTGCCCTTCCAAATCCACCTGACGTCCAGTGGCACGAGCAGTCGACGGCCCAGCAGCACCCAAATCTGGCTCCATACGATCCACGTCCACAACGTCCCTCAGCTCGAATTGTCCCTGCCCATCCGGAACGATAGCACCACTGCGATTCTGCATGGACGGCGTGGGCTGCGGAAAGATGTTCTGCCTCAGCCTGCCTCTGTTGATGTTCCTTGGGCCCCTCAGCCGATCTGCCGCTCCGTCTAGGCCAAGTCCTGTGGCTTGTCCTCGTTCGCCGTCAAAGCTGTGCTCAATGGGCTTCCTGGGCCATGTAACTGCTGCTAGGTTGTCACCGCGCTTGGTCTCTGGTGCTGGGATTGTGCGGCGAAGACTTTTGCGGGTGCCCGACCAGGGAAGTGGAAGGTGATTCGTGCGGTAGTCGAAGATGGAGGCATAATGGCTGCGGTAAGCGAGAAAAGCAACCAGGACGCCCCAAGGAATGGACAGGAGGATATCGTGGACATGATGATTCCTGTCAACAACCAAGGTCCCAGCGATAAGACACGATCCAAAGAGGGGTAACATCACAGCAAGCCATTTCCAGAAGCTAGTATGGTAATCCGAGAAAGCCTTCAGCTTCGCGTTCAGGTAGAGAGCCAGAAATGTCCCCACAAAGAACGACTCTGAAGTGTGGCCACTAGGGAACGACTGCATTGCCGACACCTGTAAGTCTTTTAGGGATTCGGGTTTGCAGCAATCCGGTGTTACGAATCTGCGGAATGGGAACCGGTCGGTCATATTTGGAGGCTGTAAGACTGGGTTGCAGACTGTGATGAAGTAAGGGCGGAATCCACCTGGTTTGGGTCAGCTCGCAGACCATGACACACAAAAATACCAGCAATTGCTCTTACCAATCCATTGTTTGAGGAAGATTTGGATGAAAGTCCTGACCACAGTGTCAGTATGCAATATAGTTCTTTCTAGCCATGCTCACGCAGCCCCGCGAGAGAGACACAGAAACAGGATAGAGGAGAAGAACAATCGTATCAGCTACCCAGCTCAGACCTCAAAACTCACATCATAACCAACCCTTTGAACAACCCGAACAAAGCCGCATTCGTATCCCAAAAACTCATCACCCACGTCTGCATGCCCACAATCACCAGCACCCCCACCACCGGTATCAGCACCCCGGTAAACAGTATACCGAGTATAAACGGCGAGTGCGGATAGCTGAGCTCGGCCGGTCCATACCAGTGTCCAGACACCGGATCCCACGTCATGGGGAAGTAGCGCTGGTTCCAGCGGAAAACCACGTGCGAGAACCTCATGATGATATGCGTGATGGCGAGGGCGATGAGCATGAAAAGGATGTCGAGATGGACGAGGCGGAGCCAGTGGAGGAGGGCTGTCCAGGTGCGGTGAGCGAGAGTCCGGGGAAAGCGTGTGCGACGTTGTTGGGGAGGCGTAGCACGGTAGGCGGGTGGTGAGGGACGAGGAGGAGGAGGAGGACGAGGAGGAGGAGGAGGAGGGGGAAGAGGAGGGTAGCTGTTGTTGAATGGTGTTGCATTTTGTGGAGGTTCTCGGTATGGAAGGTCGTATGCATGGGAGACGCGAGATGCTGGGTAGCCGTCCCTTGGACCATCGAGTGAGTTGGTTGCGGGTCCGCGCTCCGGGCTTGGGTTCGTCATATGGCCGCTCGTGACGCTGTCTAGAAGGTCGAGAGGAGGCATTGCTCTGGTTAGTGGGTGCTGTGGTGTGATCCTGATTCAATACAAATACTAGCAATGTTTCTGCGTCTGAGATATCTTGTATGGAATATTTTGTTGACGATGAGAGTACAGAAGAGGAGTTGGAAGCTGGACAAATGAGCTTTCCAAGCTGGAGAACGGAAGCGAGCGCAAAGGCTCTTTCCTCATCAAGTCTGACTGTCAAGAGAGGATCCTAACCACAATGGTTCGATCGCTACTTCCGTCGGTGAAGACGTGCTTCCATTAATCCACTGGCGGTAAGGTATTTTAGAGTGGAGCGATACGGAAGGATGCTCGATTATCCAATGGAATGCATGATTAAGATCGCTATGGAATTACGTACAAGGAGGTAAACAATTGTGTTGAGGAGCTATTTGGGAAGTGCCAATAGGCCAAATGCACCACCAACTACAGGACGAGCAGTGAATGTGAGATTAGGAATGAGTCCATAACTATTAAACATTGTCAGCATTTAGACCATCGAAACAACAGAAGACGACTCACTCTCCGCCGGTTGCGTTATACAGATCAGTAAAAGCCCTATTAGTCGGCGTCTCGTTGATCCAATTAGCAATATCGCTGAACAACATCTGCGATGTATTCGTTGAGGCGATTGCAGCCACAAGCATCTCCCAATCAACTATCAGTCGCATTTAGCGGAGTAGATTTACGTGGGAAATCTGACCAACCTTTCGTGTAGTCATGTCGTGTGTCCAGCGGCACACCGTACTCTTCCTCCACGGTGGGGTAGAATGCGCTCTGCATATCGTAGACGGATTGAGGAACGAGGTTCAGACCGAGCTCCCGGTCGCCAAAGAGGTTGTACAGCAACCCTTTAGGCAGCTTTAGCTTATGCATCGATCGACTTAAATATTAGGATCCTGCATACCATGTGAATCATTCATCCCATAAGCAAGGGTCGTGTGCGGAGGATCTGCATCATGGGCGATACCTAGAACCTGCCATTGCGTGATATAATCATGTGCTATTGATGTGTAATTCGCTCCCGTGATTGTGTTGCCAGTCAAGTTCGCAATCACAGCCATGGCTTCAATACCTATGATGCCCTTGAGCGCCAGATTTGTTTGGTTCCTTTGGAAACATCAAGTCAGTATCAGTCGTATATTTCATGTGAAATGCAGAAACGTACGCAAGTGCTCCAGCAAAGTCGTCCGTTGAGATCTGATCGGCCGGAATTAAGGCTTCCTCGATGAGATACTGAGTCCACTGGTCAAGTATAGGATAATGCTGGCTAAGATATGCGGTATCGTTGGCCCTCTGAGCGTACGCCAGAGTCATGATGAGCATGTTCCCGCACTCCTCCAGTGGTTGCTTCTCGTCATTTCCAGCAACATGACCAGTTGCGTTAGGATAGCTGGAACCAAGGTCGTGCATTGAATACATGTTAGGATATTGACCAGCCTCTTGGTTGATGAAAAGCGGATCCAAGAGATACTTGAGTAGTGTCGGATTGGTGTAGATCAAAATGGGATGAAAGGGGTAGCAGACATCTTGATGATTTCCCGGTCAGCATCACTCTTTCGGGAGGAGTACTGAGTCGCGAGACATGTGTAACGACCTATAAGACAGCATGAATGAGGAAGAATTGCCTACCAACTGTCTGGACATTCCCGTCTGAACTGATCTCCTTGAGGAAAAGATATGGTGCAGCTGTCGTTCCGCACAACTGAGTCCCACCAAAGGCTTGCCGGGCTGTGAGTGAAGCAATCGTCACAAAGTCAGCACCGCCGGCAGCCATCCCATCATCTGAGACTTGGTTATCAAAGGTAGTTGCCAGGCCAGAGGCAGTAGCAAAATCAGTGTGGAAAAAGGCCAGCTAACGTAAAGTTCAGTGCTAATTCGTCATGAATAGACAACTTGACTTACCGCATCGAGCTCAGTTGAAAAGTAGCTTGTCCACAAGGATGGCACGCTCACGTTACCGCTCGCTCCATCGAACTGAATTGCCTGCTCCTGGGTCAAGCCAAGAGAGAAGATAGTGCTAACAGTGGTTGCACCAACGGTGCCCAGATCCACTGCGAACGCGAAGGTGGGATAATCATCATTGATTGCACGAAAATTGGTATCGTTTGTGTTTGCAAGAGCGCCTGAAGTGGTGAAGGCTGAGCGAACGTCAGTATCCGCGCCCGACTGAAAAGTCAATCCTTCGACATTGTCTGTTGCCCAATACCAATTGCCGTAATCCGTCTGATCATCGGTCTCGGACCAAAGTAGTTGTGTTTGTCTGTAAATTTTATGGTAGGCGATGCCCCCTGTCGCCGTAGCCTTCGTCGAAGTGGTCACGTTGGTGTACTCCCTGCGGTCCAACAACGGTGCAAATGAATCGAAGAAATTACGTTTTCTTGTTGTAGAGCTGTCATTTGACGTAACGCCATACTCCCACTCAGCAATAGCCGTTCTATCGCCAGAGACCCATTCTATCAAGCAGCATGGTCAGCAAAGCGAGCACCAAGAACGGGTGAGCCTAAAGGCCTACCGGCTGTGATGTCCGTGTACAGCTGTACATCATGGGTAGCTCCGTCAGTGGCAGTCACTGAGACATCAACGTAGGAGAATATTAATGACTGCCGCATCAGATCTGTGGGAGTGATGGATGAGAGGAACGTAACGTTCATCTCTAAGACGCCGGCAACGTCCATGACGAAACTACTCCTTGTCGAGGTGTACTCAAAAGAGGTCTGATTCACAACTGTGGGTAATGGCGCTGGGGCGCCCATCCACGTATAGGATATGTTGTCGACACGTATCAGTCCCGTCCATCCCAGTATTTGGCCTCTGCACAGAGTGTTAGTAGCAGGCTCAGTCCTAAGACTAGGCTTACGCACGCCCAAAATGTTGGCCACTCCCTGCAAATTTCGGAATCAGCAGAAATTCTTTGAGGAGGAAATATGGATTATAAGACAACTCCAGACGGCTAAGTGAGAGTTTCAACACGATGATAGGCCTTGCAGCTCAATTTGCGGTATCAAGTGGGAAGAGATTCCTCCGAAAACTGCGCTTACCCTGCAAGATAACCACCGTTGCCAGGACCTCCCATTTCGACATCACTCCCCGCTTGCTGCCAGCAGTTGACATAGGGAGATTTCACTGCTAAAGGAATGGCTGGAGGACGAGCAGGTGAGAAGGTTGATGCGGCATAGGAGACACAGACAAGCGCCGCAAAGGGCAGGGCATAATAATGAGAGAACATGATTCCCAAAGGAAGGAGTCTGTGAGGGCTGGAGGCTGAGATTGAAGGTGGACATCACGCTTCTTATAGCACTCTTGCTGAAAAGACCTGGTGATGCCAACACGCGCCATTTTCAAGCTTCTACAAATGACTGTGAAGCTCCCGTATTAGCTGAGCTCAATCTCCGCTGTCAGGCTCGTGATAACCAGCGAAATCAGAGCAGAATGCGGTCGTTCAGGGGAGCAAGAATTCTTGGCCTCTAAGTATCGAAACAATTTTCAAGAGTAACCGCTTCCCCATATCTACCCCGGATTACAAGGCATAGATTGGTCCAAGTGGCCATGCTGCACGACATATCAGGGAACGTATTGCAACTAGTCCTTATGACCCGTTCCTGCATTTGGGATCATCCAAGGCCGGTGCATCCCTAGGGCAATCTAGGTGCTTTGGTACATGCTCCGTTGGCCCCGTTGTACGAGTCTATTGGCGAGAAGATTTCTCTTCGGCGCCTGATATCTTTGCTGGTAGGCTGGTATGATTGGCTACGATTCATATAGCAGTAGTCATCCCTCCAAGGCAGCACGCACCACATCTGATCCATGTGAGAGGGACCATGAGGTTTTCCATCCCTGTTTGCTTTTAGCTTTGCCATCATGGGCGGCTCCAAATTCAAAATCTGGAGTCCCGAGACATAAAGTATCCTATTTCTCGCGGTCAACCTGGAGCGGCTAAAGGGCTCGCGGTTAGCGCTGTGCCTTTCACCTTCCCATTTGGGCGTAGTAGCCTGGAGCAGCAGACCTTGCGCATGAGCTGGGGTCCCCGCATTTCGACTCCCCAGATTATCAGAAAGTGGTAATGACTGATGCATTCTGCCAAATGCACATGCAAGGGGCACATAGCTGCAGACGAAATCGCGGCTTAGGTCGGGAAGAGCCTCCACCCATCCGCCTTCTTGTCTCTCGCTTGAAATATCTCGAGACCTTAAAGACCTAGACGCTGTAAACCTGGTCCTAATCTCAGTTGTTGCAATTTGCGGATTGGACCCCCTGTTAATTGCGTAAGATTCTCCTGCATACCCAGGCCCGAAGCCGCTCCGGCAAGCAAATATAGAAAAACCAGACCAAATCGATGACCTGCCGAAGAAGTGGAATGGTTATAGTAGTGGAATCATGCCGTTGTTCCCACCTTTTGCTGGTTCCTCCTTTCGCATTTTGGCGTGCGTCCATGCAAGTCGAGAAGGTCCATCAGACTGCAGTCCAGATAGGGAGTACAGGTCAAAGCGGGGAACTGTTACCAGTTGAGACTGCAAGACACAGATACACATTAGTAAACCGAACTTGGTAAAGTGTGATAAGATTGGTCTTCGTATTGTCGCTAGCCTGATAGACCTGCACCCCACTGCACTTTCAATTTATCGTATTTTCTTCTGTCGCCAACACTGGGCCTGATCTTCTGTCGTGCAGTCATGAAGTCTTCTAACTTGATATCGTCATTACGCTTGATGGCCGCATACCCGGCCCTGCGCAGTAGACTCTCCAAGTCCGCACCGCTGAAGCCTTCACATGCTCGGGCAACATCCGCGATTGCATCGGTGAATGGTATCGAGAGATTGCGGCTCAGGGTCTGTAGGATCTCGACTCTTTCCGCCTCTTCAGGTAGGTCAACGAAGAGCAAAGTCTCGAGTCTGCCAGGCCGAAGCATTGCAGGATCTATGATGTCTGGGCGGTTGGTTGCAGCAATTACATAGATTCCCTGTCGATTGCTCAGGCCGTCGAGCTCGGTAAGCAGTGTA